TAATGGAGGCCTACATTAGTGAGACCTGGCTTGCCACAACAGCGCAGCAAGAGGGCAGGGGAGAACCAGGGAAGGTGAGGCTGAGGTGGGGTCAGTCCTGAGCCCCAGCCCCCTGATGGACCTCTGGTCCTCTTGCACCTGAGTGAGCTCCGGAGAGAGCCAGCTGGCCTTCCTCTAGAGGAGAGCCTCTCTCCCATCCTGTTATGGGTGTCTCCTCCTCCCCTTCCAGGTCCTGTGGAAAATGACCAGCAGGGTGATCACCAGTGAGCACCAGTGTATTTGCCTGTCAACAAGGGAACAAGCGAATCAAGCCCCTGTGTGGTTCACGGAGGGGGAAGATCAGGTTTCACTTGTCAGGAATGGCGGGTGTGTGCATTTGGAGATTATGCTAATGAACGTGGAGGGCTGCACCCCGTCCAGGCGGCAACAGGGCCTTTAGTCTGCACACATTTGGTCAAAACATTCCACACCGTTCATTTGTCAGAAAGGAGTTTTCCTTTAGGTGGACGAGGCACTGAGTTCTGAGTCACTGTTCAGTCTGGGCCGGGTGGAAGCAGTCGGGTTGGATCTCAGCATTCAGGTTTGACATGTTGAGCAAGGGCTGCTCTAAATGGGAGCTTTTCCCTCTCCATTCCTCAAGGATCTGAAGGACCCAGCAGCCTTTCCTTAGGTTGTCTTCTGTGCACAGCATCTCTTAAGGCCATTCTAAAACACCACTCCATGGATCTTAAAGCATCCCATGTTTTCCCTCAGTAGGGAGAGTTCTGTGGCTCCTTAATCTAAAGCCAGAAGGATGCAACTAAGAGAGAAGCCAGAACTGCAGGCTGCCCCCATGGTGGGCAGGCTGGGCAAGCACTGTGCAGTCCTTAAAGGGGACCACAGTGGATGAGACGAAGCCAGCGGGGGCACTGTGTGTAGTCCAGAAACAGCAGGGCATATCCCCAATGGCATAAGCCCGGTGAGTGCAATGCTGCAAATGTGTATGTGCCAACCAGGACCAGAGAAGTTTGCTGGGAAAAGCAGGCTAACAGCAGATTTGATTGGAAGAGCAGCGTTCTCAGCAATTTGCGTTATGGCACTTTTGTATTTTGGTTCATTGTGACAAGAGCATATTTTTCTGCCGACATTTGTGGGTTGTCAGGCCTTGGTGCAGTGAAACAGCCTTGATGAAAATGTGAATGGTACAAGAAGTTAGTGAATCAGCTTTCAGATCTGTCCAGAACATAGCAAAGGGCACTCACCTGACAGCTCACTGCATTTCTTTTAAAAACCTGTTCTCTTCCAGGATTTGGGACTAATAATAAAAAAAGCCTCAGGTGGCTTTTGTTCATAAATTACCATCAGTCATGATCTAACAGATGAGATAAAGACAGAGAAACAGGTATTTCTCCCAAGACTTTGTATTATTATGATTTTAAAAACTACGATTTTTCAGTATTTTGGATACTTCATGTACTTTCAGAAGAAAGCAGCCATGAAAAAGTGTCTGTTTATTGGGAGTCTACTAGAAATACCCATTTTCATGGAAGTTCTCATTTTAAACACTGGAAAGAATCACTTCTATCCCCTAAACCAGAGGCTGGAAAACGATGACCCTTGGCCAGACCTGGCTTGCTGCCTGTTCTTCTGACCACAGTTTTACTGAAGCACAGCCACTCCCATTTACTTATCGGTCAGGCAAGGATTCTTTCGCTCTGCAGCAGCAGAGTTGAGTACTTGCGACAGATGGGATGTAACTCACAGAATTGAAAATATTTGTTATGTGGCCCCTTAGAAATATTTGCCAACCCATGTGCTGAGCCACTGACTGCCGTCTAATTTCACGTGGCAACCACTGGCAGAAGATCTACAGTTTAAACTCCTCCTGGTCACTGATAAAAGTGTAATTAGGGTCCATTGATACAGGAAGACTGTCACTATTTTTGTTTTGAGACAGAGTCTCGCTCTGTTGCCCAGGCTGGAGTGCAATGGCATGACCTCGGCTCACTGCAATCTCTGCCTCCTGGTTCAAACAATTCTCCTGCCTCAGCCTCCCAAGTAGCTGGGATTACAGGCACCTGCCACCATGCCTAGCTGTTTTTTTTTTTTTTTTTTTTGTTGTTGTTGTTTTTCAGTAGAGATGGGGATTTGCTATGTTGGCTAGGCTGGTCTCAAACTCCTAACCTCAGGTAATCCACCCACCTCGGCCTCCCAAAGTGCTGAGATTTCAGGTGTGAGCCACTGCAGCCGGCCAGGAAGACTGTTCAGTATAGGGCCAAACAAGGCCATGTGCTGGCTGTTCTGTTTCTTTTCTCTCTTTTTCCGCAATCATACTTTTTCGTTTTCCTTATGGCACTGGTTTTTTGGAGAAATGAGGTTATTTCTCCTGTAGAATGTGTTATGTTCCAGATTTCACTGATTGCTTCCTCTGCTGTTGTTTTGCTTGTTTCTGAGAGTCCTGTATTTTCTATCAACTAGTAGTTAGGTCTAGAAACTCAATTAGTTTCAGGTTCCATTTCTTTGGGCAAGAATTTTTCATGGGTGGTGCTGTGAAATTCTTATTACATCACAACAGGAAGTCCATTCATGTCTGGTTGTCTCAGTTTTAGGGAGGGTAAGATTGATGATCGGGCAGTCTTAACCCTCCCTTATCAAATTCCCTGCCAAGCTCTTCACCAAATGCTTCTACAACAGTCCATCGGTGATTGTTTTAGAACTATAATTTCATTCAGGGTTGCAATATGGTGATTTTAGTGTTCTATCATCTCTTCTTCACTTAGTAGTTGGGGAAGTTCTATAAAGAAGGCATTTCTTTAACTATTGTCCACCCCGAGTGTAAATTAGTTCAACCATATGGAAGATAGTATGGCGATTCCTCAAGGACCTAGAAATAGAAATACCATTTGACCCAGCCATTCCATTACTGGCTATATATCCAAGGAATTATAAATTGTTCTATTATAAAGACACATGCACACGTATGCTCACTGCAGCACATGCACATGTATGTTCGTATGCTCATTGAGGATGCCATTTCTCCAAGTAGTCCTGGTCCTTTTCAGTGGCAATGAGCATTTGGGGATCATCGCATTAGTGCTGGAGGGCTTGGTGTTATTGTGTGGTCACTGCATTTTCAAGGGCAAAGGTTAAGAAAGAAACATTTTTTATTAAGGGGGGAAAAAGTCATAATGTTTTAGTGATAGTTGCAATTCGAAGTAAGATTACAGGGTTTCAGGCCAGGTGCAGTGACTCATGGCTGTGCTTTCAGCACTTTGTGAGGCCAAGTTGAGTGGATTGCTTGAGGTCAGAAGTTTGAGACCAGCCTGGCCAACATAATAAAACCCCATCTTTACTAAAAATAGAAAAATTAGCCAGGCATGGTGACATGCACCTGGAATTCCAGCTACTAGGGAGGCTGAGGCAGGAGAATTGCTTGAAGCCACGAGGCAGGGGTTGTAGTGAGCTGAGACCATGCCGCTGCACTCCAGCCTGGGTAACAGATCAAGGCTCTGCCTCAGACAACTATGCACAAATACACATGTACACATATATACACATATATACACATATACACATATATACACATATATACACATATATACACATATACACATATATACACATATACACATATATACACATATATACACATATACACATATATACACATATACACACATATACACATATATACACACATATATACACATATACACATATATACACATATATACACATATATACACATATACACATATATACACATATATACACATATACACATATATACACATATACACATATATACACATATATACACATATATACACATATACACATATATACACATATATACACATATACACATATATACACATATATACACATATATACACATATATACACATATACACATATATACACATATATACACATATATACACATATACACATATATACACATATATACACATATATACACATATACACATATACACATATACACACATATATACACATATACACATATACACACATATATACACATATATACACATATACACATATATACACATATATACACATATATACACATATACACATATATACACATATATACACATATACACATATATACACATATACACATATATACACATATATACACATATATACACATATATACACATATATACACATATATACACATATATACATATATACACATATATACACATATACACATATATACACATATACACATATACACACATATACACATATATACACATATATACACATATATGCACACACACACACACATACATTATTACAGGGTTTTAATATCATCTTTCAGTTTTATTTAAATCTTATGTGCAGAAAACCTTAGTTCTTGTGATTGTTAGTTCTCCCCTTTTCCCACATTTTCATTCTGAAACATTTCAGACCTACTTGCAAATACAGTCCCAAGAGCACCTGTGCAACCAGTGAGAAGATGGCCGTCTGTGGACCAGGAAGCATGCCCTCAGCAGGCAGGGTTGGACTGCCCGGCCTCCAGAACTATGAGAAATAGATGTTGTTAAAGCTCCCTGATCCATAGTATTTTTGTCACAGTTGCCTGAACGGACTAAGATACTACCTGCTGGAAGACGGTGGAGCTGCCGCCATTGTGCGGGAAGAGGAGTACTCTACCTGCACTGCTGCTTTTCTTGTCTAGATTCTAGGAAATGTCCGAGCTTCACTCCCCACAACATACCGGGACATCCCTGCAGGGACCCAGAACTGATCTGACAGAGTGGCATCTGATGACTTTGATATAGTGATTGAGGCCATGCTGGAAGCTCCCTGTAAAAAAGATGGGCCAGGCACGGTGGCTCACGCCTGTAATCCCAGCACTTTGGGAGGCCTAGGTGGGTGGATCAGGAGGTCAAGAGATTGAGACCATCCTGGTCAACATGGTGAAACCCCGTCTCTACTAAAAACACAAAAAATTAGCTGGGCACAGTGGTGCGTGCCTGTAATCCCAGCTACTCAGGAGGCTGAGGCAGGAGAATTGCCTGAACCCAGGAGGCGGAGGTTGCGGTGAGCCTAGATCGTGCCATTGCACTCCAGCCTGGGTAACAAGAGCGAAACTCCGTCTCGATTAAAAAAAAAAAAAAAAAAAAAAAAGAAGAGAATGAGCATCAAAGGACAGAAGTCAAAAAGGCTATCCTAGCAATACCACCAGCAGCGCCAGCAACAAGCAGTGGAAGCAGCACCCTCGGGGAGACAAGCAAGAGGACCCCTGATTTGGAAACACCAGGTTTTACTTGGCTTTGGGGGGTGAAATGGCCTCTTCAGATGCCTGGCAGCCTTCAGGGCTGAAGAAGAGGAGTCGGAGCCATGGTAGAAGCAGGGATAGAAAGTGCAGTCGTAGTCAAGACCGGGTCAGCATAGACGGAGAAACAGTCAGAGTCAAAGTCGAGACCGGCAGCATCGTCACCGTAGCCATAGCTGGGATAGTGGACATAGTGAGTCACGAAGTCGCGACCATCGTCGTGAGGATTGTCTGCGCTACAGGATTCCTCCACTTGCCACTGGCCATAGGTATGGACACAGTAAGAGTCCTCACTTCAGAGAGAAGAGCCCAGTCAGGGAGCCAATTGATAATCTGAGTCCTGAGGAGCGTGATGCCCGCACAGTTTTCTGTACGCAGTTAGCTGCCCGCATTAGGCCTTGAGACCTGGAGGACTTTTGCTCTGCTGTAGGCAAGGTTCGTCATGTACGTGTCATCTCAGATCGGAACTGATGCCATTCTAAGGGCATTGCCTCTGTGGAATTCTGTGAAATCCAATCTGTGCCACTGGCCATTGGGCTAACTGGGCAATGGTTGCTGGGAGGGCCTGTCATTGTACAGGCTTCACAGGCAGAGAAAAACCGACTGGCAGCCATGGCCAACAACCTGCAAAAGGGCACTGGTGGACCAATGCGCCTCTATGTGGGTTCCCTGCACTTCAGTATCACTGAAGTCATGCTCTGAGGCATCTTTGAGCCCTTTGGTAAAATCGATAATGTTGTCCTGATGAAGGACTCAGATTCAGGCCGCTCTAAAGGTTAGGGTTTCATCATGTTCTCTGAGTCTGAGTGTGCCCAGCGGGCCCTGGAACAGTTGAATGGCTTTGAGCTTGCTGGTCCACCTATGAGGGTTGGCCACGTGACTGAGCCACTGGATCATGGCACACACATCACTTTCCCTGATGCGGACCAGGAGCTGGATCTGGGATCAGCAGGTGGACGTTTGCAGCTTATGGCCAAACTGGCAGAAGGCTCTGGAATCCAACTGCCAACTACCACCGCTGCTGCTGCTGCCTTGCAACTGAATGGAGCAGTTCCCCTGGGTGCGCTGAACCCAGCAGCTCTGACTGCTCTGAGTCCAGCCCTGAACCTTACCTCCCAGTGCTTCCAGCTCTCCAGTCTCTTTACCCCCCAGACCATGTGCCTCTGGGTCCTGCTACTCCACATCTGCTCTTCCACGGTCCCATCTCTCCGTTTCGTGGACCAAGCCATCCTGAGGGCATGGACATTGTTTCTGAGGGAATTGGGGCCACACTTAAGACACCAAGAAAAGCTCCTGCTCACGGCCCCACTGGAAATGGACTCTGCTGAGCAAAGCGCCCAGTCGAAGAAAGCGGAATCTACACCTGCATTGAGTACCTGTTTCTCCACGTGTATTCTCTGAGATGACCTTCTTGCCCTTTCCTACATCTTAATGATCCCTCAATTCCTCCCCCATTGGGAAGGCCATAGGGCATTAACTGAAGGCACTGACCTCTCTCCTTTTCCGGTACCTTTATCCTTCATTCTGTCAAGGAAAACCCCTTAGGACCTCTGACTCAAGAGGACTGAGTTTGTGGGGTGAGCCTTGAAGGTGCTCTCTTTCTGCTGCTAGGGCGCTAGAAGGTAGCATGGATTCGTGCATTGAGAAGCCAACCTCAGACCTCAGCTGGATGCAGCTTGAGGCCAGACCTACTGTAGACTCAGCATCTTGCTAGGAGGCATGGGAGTGATCTATCCTGCCAGGCATTTAGGGGCTTTCAAGAATTTAGTGAGAGGTGGAGTGTACCTTTCCAGTGTCTTCCATCTTCCTTTGAATACTTGTCCTTCCTCCCAGGTCCTCCCTTTGGCCCAGGGTGGCAGGATGGAGGGAAGCTGCTGCTCTCTACTGCTTCCCGTGTGCCTCTACTGTGGCCTCAACCCTGGCAGTTAAAATGCTCCCATTTCCTACCTGGGCATGTGTGAGCCCTTCTCACTGGATTTTATCCCCTTGTGTCTGTGTACATAAATGTGTGTGTGCGTGTGTGTGTGTATAAACACACACACAGCCTCCTTGTGGCGGCTGTTGCCTATTTGTGTGTGGTCTCTGTTGTGTGTCTGTCTGAAAACTTATGAGCCCAAACCATGATGTTTCTAGGGTTATAAAAGATTAGTAACAACAACCACCAACAAAACTACCCAACCCCCTCTCTGTCTTTCTTCCAAATTGTGACAGGTACGTTATTACTTTAGTTGCTTTTCTTTAGTTGGTTTCATGTATACCTTTAATTTCTTATGTAATATTTTTAGAAAACATCCCCCGCTACGCACCATGCGTGACAAGACCGTACCCCTTACCCCTTCCTCGTCTCTTCTTTGCTACCTCTCAGCTGCTGTCAGTTATAGGTTGATGTTGCCAGATCCATAATGATTATATTATAATCATAAGTATAAAGAGAATTTCCTGTGCTTTGCCTATAGTTGGTTCTAAAATTTGAGAAGTGAAAAATAATGTTATATTTGCGCCACAATCTTGTTGTTGAGATGTTTTCCAGAGGCTTTTATGCGTCCGTGTTGGTCTGTGCTGCCGGCAGGTTGGACCTAACAGAAGCTGTAGTCAGGTCACCAGGTCACTCCTGCCTAAGCTTCATTTCTGCCACCGTCACCACTTCATTCGTAAACCCACTGCGTGATGAGACAGGTGGCGGAGGAAAGAGGCCAACTGGCCTTCACGGAATGGGTTATTCTACCCTCTCAAATGTTAAAATCCTCCTCTGCTGAGGTCATCATTTAGTGGACAATCACACAGGACACAAGTAGCTTCATGATTTTTGTCCATTCAGAGAAGCCTCTTGTGAATTTTCCAGTCCTATTTCTTGCAAGCCCGTAACCACCCAGCCTAGCCATTGGTGACAGTCTATGAATTAATACATGAGCACACACCTGGTCATTTCTTTTTCCGAGCAAAGTGCACTACATGAAGTTCTGTCCACCAAGAGGATTTCCTTCCCCACTTCAGGGAAAGTCCTTCAGGGATGGCCCAGGAAGGGGCTCAGTGCTATGGCTGCCTACCCAGCATGTTGTGTAGAACCATTGCAAACCAGGTGCAAATTTTCTCTTCCTCTGTCATATTATTATAGGGAACTCACCATGAGGCCGTAGGTACAGGCTTGGAGAGAGAAGGCAGTGCGGCAGATGTAGGAAGCATGGGCATTTGAGCCACTTCTCCATAGAACCATATAACTTACTTGTACCTTCAGGGTCTGCCCAGACCCAGTGATGCATTTGCCACATCCATTTGACAATGGAGCAAGGCTGTGCTTGCTCAATTTTGTGACCTGGCTGGTCGGTAACGCCCAGTTCATGATGGGCAGCCCAAGTTTCGTGCTAACTTAGTGGCCTGTGTTCAAGTATTCACTCTCTATCAAGGCCCAGTAATAGGCCAAGAGCTGTATCTCAAAAGAATTTGTCTGCAAATGCTGTTGGGATAGGAGAGATTGGAAGAATCACGTTGTTCATTCTGGCCATGAGTTTGCTGTTTCTGGTGACAATGCTCTCGGTGACTTACCATCTTCCTTCTGAATTAGTCGGTAGCTCCGTCATGTGCCTGGGGGATCCATAAAAATGTGCTTCTGGTCGCTAGGCTGGGGAGGCCAAATTGCCACAATCTCGTAGACTGAAGAATGGGGAGCGAACATGTGTTTTTTATTTAGTTATTTTTCCACCTTAAGAATTAGGTCTTGAGGTACCCGATTTCCCAAACCCTGGCTGTACTAAGGCTCATGGGGAATTTGCCTTTAATCAACTTATTGTCCAGAGAAATGCTACCTGGAAGGACTCAAATATCTTGAGGTGGAAGTAGATCACATGCCTGAGATTTCTTCTCTAGGTAGAAGGGTCCTGGATTATTCCTCAGCTGTTCAGAGGAAGGAAGAGGCTAGATGCACCATGAGGAAAACCACAAGTTATGTCTGGGTTACAAGAATACCTGAGTAGAGGGGAATGTCCACCCCGTAAGCCAGAATTTTCCTCTCCTTGCAGAGAGGGGTGTTGTGTCTGAATCTATGATTGGAGGCTGGCGAGAAAAGCTTTACAACAGTGGAAGAGGAAGATACAGTTGCTGTTGCCAGATTTGGGAGATAACAGCACAGTATACATCATCGGGAATTGTAACAGATTTATTGAAGAAAAAAAAAAAAAGGATGGTAGCCCATTTTCCTCCACCTACACAGTGTCTGCAGGACTAATAGTCTGGAAGGAATGAAATGCAGATGTAGCTGGCTCATACACACACTTGTGTGAATGATACGTTACTAGGTTATGTCATTGCAGTAGACTCAGGAATTGTGATCTGGGAACCCAGACATGAGCCCTAGAGGGCAAAACTTAAGTGAAATATCTTTATGGTCATTATGGAGATTCTCAAATGCTAAGGTTAACCAACATACTGCCCTAAGACCAGAAAGGAGAAAAAATGGAAGTTCTGGGTTCTGCCAATGGACTATTTCATGGAGCAGACTGCTAAGACCTCTGAATTATGTGGACTGTCAGAATGAGTCACATGTTGGGGCCGGGTGTGGTGGCCCACACCTATGATCCCAACACTTTGGGAGGCGGAGACAGATGGGTCACCTGAGGTCAGGAGTTCAACACTAGCCTGGCCAACATGGTGAAACCCTATCTCTACTAAAAACAAAAATGAAACCTGAAAATTAACTGGGTGTGGTGGCAGGTGCCTGTAATCCCAGCCACTTGGGAGGCTAAGGCAGGAGAATCGCTTAAACCTGAGAGGTGGAGGTAGTAATGAGCTGAGATCGCATCACTGTACTCCAGTTTGGGTGACAAGAGTGAAACTCAATCTCAAAAAAAAAAAAAAAAGACTCAGTCACGTGTTGGTTTGGGGATCAAACAAAGTGGAAGTGACATCAGTCAAGACTGGGCCGTCACTGCCCTGTTCCAGGCAAGCTTTGTGGTCCGACTGGTCTCGTGTTCCAACCCATCCACCCTAACCCCCTACTCCTTGACCTCTTCCAATTGAGACACGAGATTCATTCTGGCCAAAAGAGGTATATTTGAAAAACAATTTTCCTTTATTAAGAGAGTGATTATAAATAGTTCACTTGGCTTCTGCGTCCTTTCTTCTGGCCAGTCCCAGGTCACTTGCAGCACTTGGCCTTCCCACCGTAACAGGTGCCTTGAACTCTGGTGTAGATGGGGCAGGCGGAATACAGACATTGCCCTCCACCCTTGACACAATTGTAATGGTCAGATCTGTGGCCAAGACCTGTGAGAAAGGTGTCACCTGTAAGGAGGGAACACAGACACTTCAGACTCATGGCTAGTAGCTGCAACGATTGGAGAACATCTTGTGAGAGCAGGACGAATAACTGCAAAACACTAGAGAGTTTTCTCTTCCAAGAAATTTGCATGTGATTGATCTTTGGGGCTGCTCATGAAATGAGGTGACTGAAGAGCTCACTCAGCGCAGGGCTAGGCCAGCTGTGGCCAAATATGAGCCAAGGATGAATAGTGGAGTTCTGAGTGGGGTTTTCTAATGCTGAGATATTTGAGGAGTGCAGGGAATTCAAATTCTTTTACAAATAAGTTTTCCGCCTTGTCTCACCACGCTCAAACTCACATCCTGTGTTTTAGAAATGTGGAAGCAGGTACCACTCTGCAAACAGCCTACACTTCTCTCCCACCATGCCTTCAGTTACACTGTTCCCTCTGCCTTGAATTCTGGCTCCCCCACTTCCCACATCACGATTTCAGCTGAAATCTAGGATCCTTTCATGTCAGGCTGAAATCGTGGTTACTCTCTAAAGCTTTCATAGTTTTTTTTCTGCTTGGAATTGATTTTGCACTTCTCCCAGGACCCCAGATCTCATAAAAAAAGACAGTACTCTGGACTAGGCTTCTATTCCATGACACAGGAAGCAGTCACCTGTGATAGTCCTGGCCAGGGACCATCGGGCCATCGTTTTGCATGCCTCCACTGGTAGGTGTTTTGGACTGAAATATATCCCCTCGGAGAAAAAAATTTCTGTGTTGACGTCCTAACCAGTGCCTCAGAAAGTGGTTTTATTTGGAGAGAGAAACTCTAAAGAAGTGATTCAAGATAAACATGGTCATCAGGGTGTGCCCTGATCTGTATGACTTGCAGAAGAGATGGACAGAGACACACAGAGGAAAGACCATGTGAGGACACAGGGAGGAGGCGGCCGTGTACCAGCCAAGGAGAGAGACTTGAGAGAGCCCAACCCTGCCGGCACCTTGATCTCAGACTTCCAGCCTCCTGGACTCTGAGGAATTACAGTTCTGTTGTTTAAACCGCGCAGTCTGTTTATGGGCAGTTTAAACCATAAACGTGGCAGCCTGAGCAAACTGATGCAAGAGGCCATCACCACCCTAGGAGACAGTACATTCTAATGTCACACGTCTCCGTTGGAAAGATGGCTTTCACACTGATGGAGATTGTCCTGTCCGTAACTTCCACCCTGCTGCTGTTTTTCTGCTGTTTGCAGTAAGTCCACTTTTGAAAAACTCTTCTGGCTGGGTGCAGTAGCTCACACCTGTAATCCCAGCCCTTTGGGAGGCCGAGGCGGGTGGATCATCTGAGGTTGGGAGTTCGAGACCAGCCTGACCAACATGGAGAAACCCCATCTCTACTAAAAATACAAAATTAGCTGGGAGTGGTGACACATGTCTGTAATCCCAGCTACTAGGGAGGCTGAGGTAGGAGAATCGCTGTAATCTGGGAGGCGGAGTGGAGGTTTCGGTGAGCTGAGATCGTGCCATTGCTCGCCAGCCTGGATAACAAGAGCAAAATTACTCTGCCTCAGAAAAAAAAAAAAAGAAAAGAAAAAGAAAAACTCTTCATTTCTCACTGTCCTCAATGCCTGGTTTCCAGGCCCTTCCCAAACCTCTTTATTCTCCTGTGGGTGTGTTTAAATTGGCCAATCGAGTTCCCAACGTTTGAAGCCTGGTATCGATACAGAGTCCCTTAAATGTGTCCCACCAACCACCAATTGAGAAAAGGCTCAATTTCTCTCATTTTGTTTGCTACAAAGCTGCACCATCCAGTATGGCAGCTACTCGCTTCCTGCAGCTGTTCTCATTTAAATGAATTGAAATCCCGCTAGTCACGCTGCAGGTGCTCACAGGCCAGATGTGGCTACTGAGTGCTGCATTCATCGAACAGAGCAGATATAGAACCTTTTCGCCACCACAGAACATTCTATTGAACTGTGTTCTGTGGGGATGGAAGAGAATTGAGAGACACTCATTCTACCATCCCATTACTCAGGGAGGCATCTTGGGCCGAGGCCACTCACTTGTTCACACAAAACACAGTCTCTTGATTGCCAGCTTGTATTCTGTTTCTCTCACTGATTCCTAATGACGCTGTCTGAGATTGGACTGTGTTTTAATAACCACGCCACAATGTTGACCTCAAGTAAGATCGTGACCACCCAGCCTCCCCCAAAATCTCCACTTTCTGCTCTAGTCTGTCTGCACTGGAGGCTCTCAGTGCTCAGAAGATACTTAGAGGATGCTTACTCCAACCTGACCTGCAAGATGGAACCTCTCCAAGTGATTATCTCTTATTAGAGAGATCAGTTGAGCTTACAAATTTGAAAGCACTTTGAAATCGTGAAGGTCTACACATTCTTGTTCTTGATTGTTCTCAATAATCAAATTGTTGGGTGTATATACATGCTGAGTAAGCAGAGGAGGCCCAAATTTAATATTTGGGTGTAACTTTTTAGAGCCAAGATGGACTTCAGAGCTCAATTAACTCAACCTCTCTGTGATCCTCTCCCCAGGTGAGAGAACCAAGGTCCAGTGATGCCCCCAGAGCATGTAGCTGGTCAAAGACCAACCCCTACCAGAATGGCTGCCTCCTGACCTCACTGCAGTTCTCACTCCACTTTATGACACTGCTAGTTGACTACGGTGTCATGACGCATAACCGGAACTAATTTCGGGCATTACCTTCAAGGATCTAGTACATTATGGGACACAAAAGAAATTATAGCAAAGTTAGTGTCAGGGTACTTTGGTTACATTCTGTGTTCTAAAACTCATCTACTGTGTGATCTTTGGCAAACTGCTCAACCTCTCTTGGTCCCAGCTTCTCAAATTTAAAACGGAGGAGATTATGCAGCCGTAAAAAAGAATGAAAGTACGTCTTTTGCAGCAACAAGAATGTAGCTGGAGGCCAATATCCTAAGCAAATTAACACAGGAAAAGAAAGCCAAATGCCACATGTTCTCAGTTATAAGCGGGAGCTAAACACTGAGTACTCATGGACATGAAGATGGGAGCAATAGATGCTGGGGGCTACTAGAGGGGAAGGGAGGGAGGGGAGTGAGGGTTGGAAAACTAACTGTCGGGTACTATGCTCATTACCTGGGTGACAAGATCATATTCCAAGTCTCAGCATCTGAGTGGGTCTGGGATGGGGCTGATAATTCGCATTTCAGAACAAGCTCCCAGGTGACACTGAAGCTTCTGGTCCAGAGTCCATACTTTCAGAACCTTTGGTCTGGAATATTGAGGTTCCTTCCTGCTGGAGCAGTCTATGCTGCTTTCCGTCTAGGGGCCTTTTAAAAGCACTTGCCTTGACCATTTTTATGACATTTGCCTTGTTAAATGTCAAGACCAGCCTGTCCGACATGGGGAAACCCCATCTCTACTAAAAATACAAAATTAGCTGGGAGTGGTGACACATGTCTGTAATCCCAGCTACTAGGGAGGCTGAGGCAGGAGAATCGCTGTACTCTGGGAGGTGGAGCGGAGGTTTCGGTGAGCTAAGATAGTGCCATTGCTCACCAGCCTGGGTAACAAGAGCAAAATTACTCTGCCTCGGAAAAAAAAAAAAGAAACGAAAAAGAAAAACTCTTCTTTTCTCACTGTCCTCAATGCCTGGTTTGCCACTTGTGTTAAATTTCACTGTGCACATGTCTGTTTCTCTTACATGCTTCTTAAGAGATATTTGTGTAATCTAAATGCTTCTGAAGGTTTATATTTTCCAATAATAGTGGCAGCCCAAAAAGAACAGCTAGAATCTCTCTCTCTCTCTCTCTCTCTCTCTCTCTCTCTCTCTCTCTCTCTCTCTCATACACACACACACACACACACGCACACACACACACATGGGCACTTTGTAGGTATCAGAGAATCAACAATAAATAATTACTAGGTCAAGATTTGAGAGAAAGACAGAAACAAAAGCGGGAATATCACATCCCACTAACAAAAAAGTTACGAATTTATGAAACCCTGAAAATTTAGTCAAATAGAAACATTCCTAGGAAAATACAACTTACTAAAATAAACACAATAAGAATTAAAAAATCTAAATGGTCCCATAACTGCAAAGGTATTGAGTCCATAAATAAAACTCTAGGCCAAGATGGCTTCATCAGCAAATCCAACTGAGCAGTAAATAAGATACAGGGTCTGCACAACACATACTGTTTCTCAGAGTAGAAAAAGGGATAGTGCTTATCTATGGATGCCAACATGGTCTTAATGCCATCGCTAACAAAATCAGAAATGGAAAAAAAGGAACAGAAAAATTGCAAGTCAATCTCTTTGATCAATGGAAAGACAAAAATACTAAAAAAAAAAAATTCAGCAAACAGAATAAAATCAAGTTCAGTTTATTTCACAAATACAAGGTATCATTTAACATCTGAAAGTCAAGGCTATTAACAATAAAGAAGCATATGATCAATAGATGCAGAAGAAACATTTGAAAAATTCAAAATTATTTTAAGATAAAAATTGTTAAACCTTATAACTAGAGTAATTTACTTAATCAATAAAAAGTACTGTAAAACCTGAAAAAAAATAGTACTCTCACTGATAAAAAATAGTACTCTCACTGATAAAAAATAGTGCTCTCACTGATAAAAAATAGTACTCTCACTGATAAAAAATAGTACTCTCAATGATAAAAAATAGTACTCTCAATGATAAAAAATAGTACTCTCAATGATAAAAAATAGTACTCTCACTGATAAAAAATAGACGCCTTGCCTTTGAGATTGGCAGTGGGG